TGTGTGCGTGGCACGCAATTGCTTGAGCCCTTTTTTAGATGTTGCAGCCCCGTCAGCAGCAGTCCCTCCGCTGCTGCTGGTGCTCAAGCTTTCCCACCCTCGGCCACCTTGGGCCTGAATTTACATAGCGCACGTCTGTTTTTATAGTTCTAACACTTCCATTCCGCTCATGTGGGGTTTGGCCTGTCCGTTGCACGTCCCATAACCTCTGGTCGTGACCATCGTGGTATCAGACTTCACCACTGAAAAAGTGACTAAGCAGTGGGAGGCTCGGAGTTTCATTTCGTGTTCCTGATCTTGGGCACCTTTGGGGGCCTCTTGGGCAATTTTAGGCTATATTGGGGCCCTCTTGGAGGCCTCGTGGGCCGTCTTGGGGTGGTCTTGGGGGCTTTTTGGACCGTCTCAGAGCCACAGAAAGCTGAAGAGGCGAGAACGCCAAAATCCTTCCAAAACCTACGGACAAGTAATGATGTTTGCCTCTTGGGTGGCCTTTTGGAGGCCTCTGGGGGTGTCTTGGTGGGGCGTATTGGAGGCCTCGTGGGCCGGCTTGGGCGCATCGGGCGTCTGGGAGCGATCGTTTGCGTTTCGGGGCCCTCTTGGACCGTCTTGGCGGCCTCTCGGGGCCCTCGTGGCCCGTCTTGGGACACTCTTGGGCCCGAAAGAGACACGCGAGAAGAGGACGGGAACCCCAGGGGCCATGCTACAAGACCCGGCGGATTTGACAATGTCAGTTCTGGGCCCTTCAAAGACCCATCAGGAATGCGGATTGAGGCTCCAGGGATTGGGCAAAGGACTTGAGAAAGAGCGCGTTCTGTGGTCGCTTGGAGGGGGGGTGTGGAACCGGACCCCCCCCCCTCCCCTACTTCTCCTCTCTCCCTCTCCTCGGCTGGCGGCGGCGGCGGGGACGACGATTTTCTTTTCGGGGCCGGCGCCGGCGCCTGCGGTGGCGGGCGGCGGCGGCGGGGAGCGTCGACGAGGACGACAGTGGTGGTGGTGGTGGTGGTGGGTTTTGGTGGTGGTGGTAGCGGTGGTGGTGGTGGCGGTGGTGGTGGTTGTGGTGGTGGGTGGTGGTGGTGGTGGTGGTGTTGTGGTGATGGAGTGGTGGTGGTGTGGTGGTGGTTTATGCTGGTGGTGGTGGTGGTTTGTGGTGGTGGTGGTTTGGTGGTGGTTTGTGGTGGTTTGTGCTGGTGGTGGTGGTGGTGGGTGGTGGTGGCGGTGGTTTGTGGAGGTGGTGCTGGTGGTGGTGGTGGTGGTATTGGTGGTGGTGGTGGTGGTGTGGTGGTTTGTGGAGGTGGTGGTTGTGCTGCTGGTAGTGGTGGTGGTTGTGGCGGTGGTGGTGGTGGCGTGGTAGATTGGTGGTGGTGGTATTGGTGGTGGGTTTTTGTGGTGGTGGTGGTGGTGGTGGTGGTGGTGGTGGTGGTGGTGGTGATGGTGAGTTGTGGTGGTGGTGGTTGTGGTCATGGTGGTGGCTGTGGTGGGTGGTGGTGGCGGCGGTTGTATGGTGGGTTGGTGGCGGTGGTGGTGGGTTGAGGCGGTGGTGGTGGTGGTAGTGGTGGTGGTGGTAGTGGTGGTTATCATCGCTGCGCCCCCGCCGTCGCCGGCGCCAGCGCTGGCACTGCTGGCCGCCGCTAGCGCCGGCGAGGGCGCCAGGGCGGGGGGGGGGTTTGAACCCCCCCCCTTTGGGCTGCCTCTGGTCATCGTCGCTGCGTCCCCGCCGTCGGCGCTGCTAGCGGCCGCTGGCGCCGGCGCCAGGGGGGGGACGGGGAGGGTTTTCAAGACCCCCTCCCCCCTTTGGGAGGGGAGAGGGGGTTCGGGAGGGGGTGGGGTTGGGGGGGAGGGGGGTCCCCTTAGTTTTGATCGACGGCGCCGAGTGTCGAGGGGGGGGGGGCCCACCCCCCAGTTCGAAACGCGCCGCCGAATGTTCCCAAGGCAAGCGCCCGTGAAACACGTTCTCTCGGACCTGAGGACGCCCACTCTGTGCCCAGCGGCGCGGTGGCGGATGTTATACTGGATGCACTGGACACCTTGCGTTAAATGCGTTCGTCAGAGAACGCTGCCGCTCCGCACGTCACCTCCGGACGTGGATATCTAGAGAGGTTTACGCCATCCCGCCGACCCCCCGCGGAGCAGCACGTCCAGGGCGTTCGCCAGGTGTTGGAGCTTGGGTGGTGTGATTCGGCGCGGGTTCTGTGGCCGCACCATTGGTAGGCTGGTTCCCTGAGAATGTCTGACGTGTTTGTTCTACGGTGGACGCCAGAGTCTGTCACTCATTCGTGTCCTTGGGTCAGTAGGTCATTGGGTCACTTGGTAATTGTCCTTGCATCGTTTCGGCTACTGGGTCATTCGGTCACTGGGCTCCTCCGTCATTCGTCTCGGGTCTGCAGTGAGACAGTGTCTAAGTCCACGATCCTTTTCAATTATTTCGTCATTGGGTCATTGGGTCGCTGGGCGTGGCCACACAAGTCATCGGGACACTGGGTCATTGAGTCATTCCTTGTGTCATTTGGTTCCCTGGGTCGGGTGGGTGCTCGGTCACTGGGTCATTCGCCTAGAGTTTAAATCAAGTTTCGCCAGTGCCTGCGAGTCAGTATGGAAAGTGGTCCGTGTGTCATTGTGTCGCTGAGTAGTTGTTCGTTCCGGTGCGCTCACAGGGTCTCGAGGTCATTGGTTCACTAGGTCATCTGAAGCATGCTCACTCTGCGTCGGTGGGTGTTCCGTCCCGCTCTTCGGTCGGGGGAACAGTGCGTGAGTTGTCGGCCGGCGGGGGAGGGGGTCAGGAGGAGGGGGGCGGCCAAATGCCGCACACATTTGCTTACCTCCGACAAGCGGGGGTCGACGGATTTTTGTGTGCTGTGTTTTGCTCCTCTACTTGTAAGTCGGGCCTGTCCCTCTACAGGAGGAAAATTCAAAGATAGGCAAAAAAAATGATGGGGACGATTGTGCGACTATGTTTGATTTTTGGGGGGGTATGTTCGGCCTGTTTTTTTATTTTTCGTCCATCGTCCGCCTGTAGGAGGACACGCCCAACCTAACTCCGCTCATCCAGCTGCCTGCGACAAGCCCCGCCAGCGTCTCGTATTCAAGCATCGTGGGCCCTCTTGGCGGCCTCGACTGTCTGCCTGGGCCGTCTTGGAAGCTTGGGAGCGCGGACCCACCTTTTTGTTAACGGGGGATCGTGGCCTCGGGATCGCGTACCCATGTTTTGGGAGGAGGGAGAGGAGGACGAGGAGGAGGATGAAGAGGAGGACGATGATGAGGGCCTCGGGAGGAGGTGGATGCGTGCACCAGACTGCTAGTAGAGGGGGGAGTCCTCGAGTAGAGCGGGGGAGTCCTCGACCATGAGCACCCAAATCCTGCGGAGCAGCACCTCTGGCATCCTGACACGCCCGCGTCGTGCAGGCAGGGTGGCGGAGATCGGCCACCCGTGGGGCCTCGGTGCGCCCCCCCCCCCCCCCTCGGGAGCCCCCGCGCCCTCGCCACCGTCGGGGGCCCAGCGCCGATCCATCGGCGACGCGCCGTCGATGCTGGGTTCCGGATCCGCAGCACGCTGGCGGATGCCTCAATCGGGGGTGGACAGAACCCCCAACAGTGACACGTCGATTAGTGAATTGTAGGTTCTCGGTTCTCGAGAGGGCGCCGTGGCCGTTATTTTCCAGGCTTGCGCCCGCCAGGTTTGGGCCTCAGGTCGTTTTCACTAAACCACGTTTTACTAAAGGGGGGTCTGTCCATCCCCGACTCAACCTTGCGAAAGCCGTGTCGGACATATGCACCCCAAGGGATGCGAAGAGGTAGGGGCGGAAATTGTGCGCCTCGGAGGGGTAGGCCTGAGACCTCCGAAAAGCGGTGTGGCGGAAACGGCGACGGCAAAGGAGACCGGAAGTCGGCAGCAGAGGAGCCTGAGAAGGGGGGCGGCTCGTTCCGCCCCGAGGAGGAGGAGGAGGAGGAGGAGGAGAAGGAGGAGGAGGAGGGAGGAGGAGGAGGAGGGAGGAGGGAGGAGGAGGAGGAGGAGGAGGAGGAGGAGGAGGAGGAGGGAGGAGGAGGAGGAGGAGGAGGAGGAAGACTGGCGAGGTTGCCCCATGCACGGCGGCTCCGAAGTCGGGGCGCCCTCCCCCCCCCCTTGACCTCGGAGGAGGGAAGGGTACCCAGACCGCTGCCCTGGCCTCGTACTCCTCTTCCAGGAGAGGAAAAAACACACAGACACAATTAATCCTCGATTCCCAAGGAAATATAGGAAGATATGGGAAGTGGGGGGGAAGGCAGAAACCCAGAAAATATAGGAAAATATAGGGGAATAGTTTTATTTGTGTGTATCTATTTGTGTGTCCTGGGGCCCCTTCATTCTTGTTGGGGCCTCCCGTGAGGCCCTCGTCGCCACCGCTGGCTTCGCCCCGAACTTCTGTCAGAACGTATCCTGGGATGGGTCCGGGGAGTGGCGGTATGGGTACTGTTGGGGGTTTTCCCCATACAGTCGATGTCGGCTCGCGGAGGGTATCCTGATGTTTTGCGTGTTTGCTGGGTGGTCTCGTGCATCCTGGAGGAGGGTGCCCCCGAAGAAGTTCTTCAGCTCGGTCGGCGGAGGGTCTCGTATTCTTGAGGCCGGCTTCTGCTGCCCGAGCCGTACTTGCATCGGTATCGGTACCTCTCTTGGATCCCCCCATGACCGGCTCCCCTCCTCACCGAGCGCGTTCCACTACTTGCGAAGTGCCTACGCGCAAACGTCCGAAGACAGCATGCCCTCCTCGACGTGATGCATGTACGGTGGGGGCGTTCGTTAAGGAATGTGCTCTGGTGGCCTCAGACCCTAGAGGATGTCTTATCAGATGAGAGCAGCGGTGAGATCCATAGCCAAGTCACGATTAGAGCTCCACGGGCTTCCAGACCATGGATTCCTTATCCAAGGGCTCCTTATCCGATGCCTTCACCGTAGATCCCCCGCGGCGGAGCCCGGCTATTTACGAGCAGTTACTTTGCGAGCAATTGAACGCGCTTGTCCACCCCAGGCACGGGTCGTGGCCCCCGCCCTGAACTTCGTGTACAGAGGCATCCTCGGCCTGGCGGGCGAGCGAGAGCGGCACGAGGCGTCGCCTGCCGCGCTGGTGCGGTCGGGCCAGCAGGGGCGGCTGGACGCGGGGTGCCCCTGGTGGGTCCTGAGCGCCAGGAGGGAGCTCCTGGGGCTGTGGCCGCTCGAGGACGCCGTGTTCGGCTGCTCGGACTTCGTGGACGGCCTCGCGGCCAAGGGCGCAGACGTGAGGAGAGCGGAGTGCGGGTACAACCATTGGCTGCTGGTGTTCAGCTTCGATGCGTTCGCAAGGTCTTTTTGCGGGAGCCTCTGAATTCCCCCCCCCCTGGAAAATCCAGCAGATCACCATCATGCATCACCACCACCACCATCATCATAATCAGCACCATCATCATTATCATCACCATCATAATCATCATCATCATCATCATCATCATCATCATCATCATCATCATCATCATCAGCAGCAGCAGCAGCAGCAGCAGCAGCAGCATCAGCATCAGCATCATCATCGAGTGGCTTCCGCTCGCGCTTCTTCTGTTGTGGCAGGCGTGTCCGCCCACACTTTCGCCACCGTGGCTTCGGCTCATGAGGCGAAACGTGGCCGCTCCGAGATCACAGGTGGCGACGACGACGAACTCTTGTGGATCCCCGGGAGGAGGAGGACCCCGCGGTGCGCCGCTCAGCTCTTACTCCGCTGCTTGACGCGCAAAAGACCGAGTTTTAGGTGATCGTCGACTCCACCGTCAAAGGCCTCCTGGGCGAACGCCCCAATACGATGCACCAGCCTAAGAACACCCAGAAGGAGCATGCCAATATCAGGGCGTCCGTCCAAGCCTTCAACGCGAGACCAGACACGCCGGCGAAATCCCAGCAGAAGATGTGGGAGAACATCGAGCCACTCCAACAAGCTCAACGTGCCGCTGAAAGCGCATCGCTGGCTCTTCCACCAAATTTTGATGCCCGTGCTGGGACTTGTGCCGTGGGCGGCTCTAGAATCCTTGCGCGTGCCAATAACAACGTCCCCAAGGACTCCATCCTCCCTGCGATGGCCCAGCTCTTCCAGACCACTGACATCGACCCGTCCAGCGTCACGATCGAGGGAAAGGCGTTCCACGGGATCTCCAATCTCGCCGTGGATACTGCCGGAAGGCTTGCAGCTCGCAAGGTCGATCACTTGTTCCGCAGCTTCCCGCGAGACGATCAAGGGAGACGCTGGCAGTACACTGCGCAGTCCGTGCGTGGCGAAGCGGCCTCGCTGTTCTTCGACAAGGCCCAGTGCCCCAAGGACGACACGATCCAAGCCAAGGGCCGCCAGGTCGTTCGTGCTCATGAGTCTCTCTACCCCGAGCGTGCGGTGGTATATCTCTCAACAGGCGCGACGAGAGGGTGCACGCCTCAGGCAAAAGGCTTGCACGCATCTTCTCGCCAGGGCCGAACATTGTCAAGGTCGAGATCCAGATTCCATTGCTCGCGCACTGGACAATCACGCGTGCAAAGTACGACGATTTCATGGAGAGAAAGGCTGCGAGCTGCGAGGAGGACATCCAGCGGGGGTAATACCGACTCTCCCGGTGCCCTCCGTCTCTTGGAAAGCCCGTGTGCTCTTTCACTTCGACCGCCGTGCGGCGCAAGCAAAGATCGAGTACCTTCACGTCCAAGAGATCCACAGCTCCGATCAGGACGTCGACGCCCTCCTACACCGACTACAGGAGACCCATCATGTAGTTATCTCACTTGGGGAGTCTCTGGCCGCTGCCAGAGTTCCATCCCCAGGACGAAAGGTTTGTCCTCTTGGGCCCGGATGAAGACGGCGTCAAGTCAGGCACGGACGCGCATCAGAGGAAAGGTGGCGGATCCAATAAAGTTTGCGCGGGTCCGCTTGCGGTGTTGACTTGTGCCACGGTGGATCCGATTTCTCTCTGCTCGGATCCGATTCCGTTTTTTCTGGCTCCGCATCGCGCCCCGCTTTTATGGCGGATCCGATTTCTATGTTGTCTGAGGTTCAACATGTTAAAGCTGAACCAGGGAAACGACCGAAATCGGGTTCACAGACCCCAGGCCCGCCCGCGTTAAGATTACTCCGGGGGGTCGGCTATCAAATTCCCGGGATGAGTCTTGCGCTGCCTCGCGCATGTCCATCAACTCTCCGCGCGCGCGGGCCCCACTCGACATGGATATATATATATATATATATATATATATATATGTGTGTGTGCGTATATATACATATATATATGTACATATATAAATATATATGTATGTATCCTCCTGGTTGCTGCAAAGAGCTTGTCCAGACGCCGTCCGTTCCGCGGCGCCGATGTTATCTCGCGAGCTCCTCATCGCCATTTTCATATCAGGAGGAAAACTGTTGGTCCTGCGTGAGGCTCTCTGGTTTTCGTCACACTCGTTTTCCTCGGCCCCCTCGCGTTCGCCACGCTCCTCCAGCTCGTGCTATGCCCGCCGAGGCAAGCCGCGACCACGTCGCCATCATCATATGAAACACTCACCACCTACGGCGAAACCGACCAGCAGTTCCGATCGATGCAGCAACGTCTCAAGGCAGATCCAGCGCGCTGCTCGCCACCCCCAGGGCGCAGCGTGGATCCACCGCGACTTCAACCCTCGCGCTCCTGGGGAGGGGCCGTCCTCGCTGCCGGGCCCCCCAGGCCTCGCGGACCAGGGTCGCGTCGCAGGCGATCTCCGTCGCCCTCGCCGGACACCGTGGCAGCACGGCCTCAACATGGCCACGGATATCAACGACGGCTCGCACGCGCATTTCTGGCCTCCTAATCCAAACCTCTCCCGCATCGCCCGCGCCTGCACCTCCCTCCTAGGTGGAGATGCATGTTCTGGCTGAGCTGACCCTGAACGGCAAACTCTCTGCGAGCCTCAGCGATCACGCACCGATCCTGACATCAGCGATCACGAGAGCACCGATTGCAGACGATCCGCAGCCCATCCCAGCGGCCATCACGAAGCCAACCAATTTCAAGCAGGCCATGCAGGAGCTCTACGAACCTGCGACCCTCCACGAACTCGACCCGATCGAGCGCCAGGTGGCCCACTGGCGCATACTTCGCGAGGCCGCCCGCATAGCTCGACTAGGGTTTCTCTCGGCCCCAGGCGCACTCAGGGAGCGCCCGTTGAAGCTCCGTGTCGTGTCATCCGTTCCACGCGCCAGTCGTCCGAGGAGACGACGCACTTGCTCGACCTGTCGCTGCAACGAACCAGCTCGCGCGGTCGCGCCTGGCCCTTCGCGGGCGGCAGCGCGACGGCCTGCGCGGGCCCCGACGTTCTCGCGCCAGTCTGTCGACGATGCCACCGCGGACAGGCTCGACCCTCGTAGGGCGAAGCCCGCGCCGATTCCAGATTCCGCCTAGCCGGACAAGACCACCTAAAAGCACCTCGGGCGCAAAGTTCCCGATTCTTGCCCAGGCATCGACGGCTCGCCGCATTTTGCACGGGCTGCCGGAGGCGACGCGGCCATCGGGGCACGCTACCAGATGGACCTCCGCGCGCGCGGCGGTTTCCTCTCCCCGCTCGATGCTGACAGCGCGAAGGCGGCGCACCCTGCACAGGGCGGCCTCCCTGCCGATCGGGGGGAGGCGAGGCGAAAGGCCGAGGCAGCGCGGCCACTGCACTTGCAAGACAAATGTGGAATGGGCCCCGCGATTCTCCCAGCATGTGAATTCACATTGCCCTTGTTTCCAATATGTGAGTTCACGCTTGCCTTTTTTCCCCAAGTGTGGATTCACCTTCTGGCCCCTTTCATCAAGATGTCCATACAACATTCCAAAATGTGCATTCATCCTTTCCTGTTTCCCCAAAATTTGAATTCGCGTTTGCTTTTTCCCGACATGTGAATTCACATTGTTTTTCCCAAATGTGAATTCACCTTTTCCTTGTCCCGAAATGTGAATTCACATTTTGCGTTTCCCCACACTGTGAATTGACATTGTGCCCTGGCCTTCAATATCCCCATAACTGAGGCGCAGTGCTCCGCGTGCCAGACTGGCAGGGCAGATTTTGACACTCACCTCACCGCTTTCGGTTATTTCATTTGTTTTGCATTTTGCGCCCTCAGCGCACGTTGCCATCGTCGCCTTTCCCGAGCCCCCCGCCGTCTTGCTTCGTTTACTCTCAAGTCTCGCGCATGGATGCAGGCGGGGAGCTTCAATTTGTTCCCCCGCCGAACACAGCAATCGAGGATGTATCGCCCATGCCTGGGACCCTGCGCCCGACCCCCCTTTTCACCCTCCAGGGAACGAGTCCACCAAACGCTATCAATCCCAGCATATGACCCCCACACAACGCGGCTGTACACCCAAGCGCAACATCGTCAACAACATTCCTGACCTGGGCGCGGCGTCCCGCGCGTTTGGCAAACAGCGGCATCGTCATCTCTTGCCTGCGGCCGTCTTCTGGGACTTCCTCGCGGCCACGGAGTTGTTTCCCTGCAGATGGCGCACCCAGTCCTGGCCGGCTTCCTACACGGCTGCCCGCTGTCAGGGTTCTTCTTCGCGGCGGCTTTCAATCCGTTCCTTCGCATGGTGGCGAGGTGCACTAACGAGAGATGGAAGCGCTCTCTCGCGCATGCGCGGACGACGTCGGCGTTTGCGGTCATCTTCGACCTCGCGGAGACATGCGCGAACCTCGCGCTGGGCATGGCCAAGCGCGTAGCCGCCCGCATTGCGGAGTCGCGCGCAGGAGGTCGTCGCGCAGGTGCTGAACTACATCCGCAAGTACATCCCGAAGAGGAGCGGCTTCCGCGTGGAGGATAAGGCACAGTCATGGCCAAGAGGTGAGGTGCTGAAAGGTAACTGGGGTGCGCCCGTGGCAAGGGGGCTCTAGAGCCACCGCGATGGCGCGTGAGCGCGTCGCGCCCCCCCCCCCCCCCGACTTGGCCAGGCAGAAGGTCGTGTTGATCATTGAGATTATGCGTTCTCCTCCGAGCACGTTGTCCCTGGCTTCGTCAACCAGACTTGCGGACGAGGGCCTCCGCCCTCAGACGAGTGCGATTTGGCTAGCGCGGGCATCTCTCAAGAGAGCGGAGGCGCTGGATTGGCAGTTCGGTTGCGACCTAACGGGGAAGGAGCAAGGCGATGACGCAATGTGGGACGACCATTGGAAATCGGACGCCTATTGCTCCTCCCAGCCCGACGCGACCCTTGATGTGGTCCCAGGGCGATCCCGACCTCTTGCTCGCGCGCGCAGTACCAGAGTTGCGAAGGCCGTGGAGTTGCGGGCCTTGCCGCGCTCCCAGTGGCCCACCAAGAGCGGCTTCCAGGCGCAGATCTACGATGCGATGGCGGGTGCCTCTGTCCCTGCCTCTCTCTCTCCTCGTTT